GGGATCACACAAAGCTGAGGAGTATAGGTCGGTCTTTGATGCTCAGGGCAACCATATTTGTGGACAAGATGCTAGAGAGCCAAAAAACGGCCAGAGGGGGCCCCCTTCACAGGCGGGCCCCCGCCCCAGAGACAAGACAGCTCAGGGTGGCAGCCTTCAACAAGGGCCACCCCTGGGTCAGCAGGTGTAGACCTCAGTGTCGCCTCCAGACTTATACAAAAGGTCACCATTAGGACAGATGGCGTTAAGACCCTAAATGACATGCAAAAGCTATTGAGAGACATTAAGTAGATTAGGCCATATTTACATATACCAAATTCAGATCTCAAACCCCTGTTCGACCTTCTAAAGAGAGATCCAGATATAGCCTCCCACAGGAGGCTCACTCCTGAGGCAAGAGCTGCCTTACAGAGAGTAAAAAAAGCCTTAGGTGGGGCTACCTTACACAGAATTAAACCAGGGCGACCCTTTGATGTCTGTTTGCTACAGACTAGTCTACAGCCCACAGCGGTGATTTGGCAAAAAGGACCACTACTGTGGATACACCCTAAGGTCTCACCTGCAAAAGTCATAGAGCATTACCCAGAGGCAGTCGCTTCATTGGCCCTTAAAGCGCATGATAGAGCTGTCCAACATTTTGGCTCAGGACCACAAGCCATCCAAATACCCTATACCGCCAGCCAGATCAAGACCCTGGCTGCCTGCATAGATACCTGGGCCATTCTGAGATGTGTTTTCCATGGGGATATAAACAATCAATACCCTAAAGACCCTATCTTGTCATTTGTCACTCAGCACCCTATAATTTTTCCAAAGGTTACTGCCTCTGAGCCATTAGTCCCAACAACTACAATATACACAGATGGCTCCAAGACGGGGATAGGCGCCTATGTGATCCTAGACAAGCCCCCGGTTACCATACAATTTAAACCAGATCAGCCTCAGGTGGTAAAACTACAGATCGTTAAAATGATTCTTAAACGGTTCTCAGAAGCCATTAACATTGTCTCCGATTCTAGGTATGTGGTCAATGCTATACAAGTGCTTGAGACTGCCAGTTTAATTAGATCCACTTCCACAGTGGCTAGACTGTTCCTGTCTATCCAGACATTGCTTCAAAACAGACACCATAAGGTCTTCACCACCCACATAAGAGCACATACATCCCTGCCAGGGCCCATGGCACAGGGGAATGCGGCTGCTGACACTGCCACTCGCCCGTTATAGATTTTTACCTTACTAACACCAATCGAGCGAGCCCGTGCCTTCCATGATAAGTTTCATGTTAATGCCAGGACACTAACAAACCATTTCCATGTTTTTAGAGCAGATGCACGAGATATCGTGCGACTATGTGACTCCTGTGCCACATACAAACCTGCCATACCGATGGGAGTAAACCCTCGAGGTTTGATCCCTGGTGATGTTTGGCAGATGGACATCACACATATACAGGAGTTTGAGACTCTTAAATATGTTCATGTTTCCACAGACACCTGTTCTCACGTCATATTCACAACAGCAAAAACAGGTAAAAAAGTGTCTAATGTGATCAATCATTGCCTGGCGGCTTGGGCCGCATGGGGCAAACCAAAAATATTAAAAACTGATAATGGACCAGCCTATATAGGCAAAGCCTTCAATGAGTTCTGCAAAATGATAAAGGTTCAATTAAAACATGGTATCCCATACAATCCCCAAGGTCAAAAAATCATTGAGAGGGCTCATAAAAGCCTCAAAAAAATTTTACAAAAACAAAAAGGGGGAGTAGGCCAAGGCCTGGCCCCAAAGGCACGATTGTCCATGGCACTATTCACACACAATTTTTTAAATTTAAATAATGATAATCGCTCCCCAGCTGTGGAGCACTGCAACCCTTCCCCCAACCATAAAGGGTGGGTGAAGTGGAAAGATGTCCTGACAGGACAATGGATGGGCCCGGATCCAGTGGTCAGCTGGAACCGAGGCGCGGTTTGTGTTTTCCCACAGGAACCGGGACGAGAACCACTGTGGATACCGGAGAGACTGACACGGGCAACAAAGCCCTCGACTAAAGATCAGACCTGCCCTACCGGAGATCCATCACAGACCAACCAATAAGATGAATAGAAATAGCGGTAGCCCGAAATGGACAAGAAGATCCTCAGGCATATGCATGGCTTGCTCAATTGGCCCACGACCGAGTCTAGATATGGCGGGCATCCCTCATTCTCCTCCATAAGGTGACAATACACAGCAGGGTAGGTGAGTCAATGACGGGTAAGAGCGTGCCTCCCCAGCACGACTCGACCTAAGCCAGGCCCTACCCCATCCTGCACGTAAGCCGCTAGACTGTTAAATGCTGCCCAGGTCTAAATTTCTCTCCGAGGGGATTTCTTTACGGAGAGGAAATGAGTGCAAGCTTGTGTGCATCCAGGTTCCGTCCAGTTTGTGCCTGGCCCTAGAAAAAGGACGAGGGCCTCAGGGCCTTGGCAGACCATGGCATGGCCAACCAGGGTCTAAGCCAAGGACCTACGGTGGACCTACACATAGGGCATAAGCCTCTGCACCCAGTCCAGGAAGGGCTACGATGCGCACATTCATAAAAAATAAAATAGGGGGAGATGTTGGGAGCCGCGTCTGTGATAGCTCGCCTTGCGCGGCGGACGTGCGGCCTGTGGTAAAGAGCAAAGCCTGAGGTAGATTACCCCTCCCATCGAATATGTTAGTTTCCTGCTTACCGCGTAAACAACCCGCTCAACAATATAGTCTGCCTGGCAACTGATGATGTTAGCCAATCAGCTTGCCTTGCTTACTTTAACATGATTGGACACTGTATCCGTATATATACTGGTGCCACCCCTGGGGGGAAGGAGAAGCCCAGAAGTAGAAGCCCAGAAGGAGCCGCGGAGAGCGGACCGGTAGAGGCTTCGGAGCGAAGCCCGAAAGGAGCCGCGGGGAGCGGACCAGAGGAGGCTTCGGCTGGGAGCGATCCCAGGGCAGGCTGTACAGAGAAGAAAAATAAAAAAAAAAGGTTGTCCACTACCAAACTTTGTCGTGTGTCCTTCCTGCCGGCCGGGAGCGGACATCGACAGTAACCATTGTTGATCACCTTGTATTTTGTTTTTACAGTATGTATTATGTCCATCCTTTTGATTTGATTGACTCTATTTTGTTATGTCACATTTGGTTTTATTCTCTTCAAAAAAAGTAATAAGAACTGTGGGAGTAATAAAACCCAAAATGTGTAATCGTCATTGTACAAAAGAGAGGAAAAGAAAATGCTCTAAAGGATATAACTGCATGTATATTTAAGTGTATAAGACAGATAACCATATTACTGAGTTTTATTGGATCACTGAACAGAACTGTTTGCAGTCTCACTGTTTGAATGTCCACTTTATATGCTTTAATTTTGTAACTTGAACAACTATTTCTAAGATGACAATATGTAATCTATTAACTAGTGATTTCCTACTGTTTATATTTTTGAAATTCTGTGTAACTTGTACCCTTTTTCTGTTTTTTTTTTCTTTTTCTCCTTAAATAATTTTTTTTAAAGTGCCACTTTAACTTGTAATATCTGCAGGTAAAGGTAATGCCCTGTCTCCTAATCGCCTCAAATTTTATTTCAAGAAACCAGTGAAATAATATCTGTGATTCATTTCAAATTCTATGCCGTTCTATTTTACCCAAATACTAATTTTAAAATCAGTGCAGTTCCTTGCACTCAAAATTCTTTGAGGAATAAATGATTTAATTTCTAATTCATTAGTTAAAACCACATTGTCACATGAACAATCATAATTTCTTCTCTTTACACTGCCTTTTCTTAGAAGCAGAACAACACTGTATTGTGGATGACACTAAACTTCCCAGAATATAAAATAATCATTGTAACCAGTTCCCAGAAAGATAATAACAAAGTCAATGACCAGTTTTCCCTGTTTCCTGAGGTCATGTCTAGCATTCCTTAAAACAGCAGGGCCAGCCAAATTTTTGAAGAATTTGCATACAATATTTGCTCAATATTTATTGGAAAAATAAACGAATAATTTCCCTCACATTTACTTAGAATCAATTAAATTACGTCCCACATTTTACCACGAGTCAGAATATCTAATCTGTAGGCTTCTTGCTTCACTTTTTCATCCAGATTGGTTCTTAGATTAAAACTGAGTTAATTAATGTTTAATGTGTATGGGGCTGAGGATTTAGCTCAGCAGCATAAGCGCCTGCCTTGCAAGTGTCTGGTCGTGAGTTCGATCCCCAGTATTGATAAAAAAGACAAAAAAAAAATTAATGTGTAACACTGTAAATACATTATACACATACATATCTGTGAACACATGTGCGCACATGAACATGATACACTTAACTACACACGTGGACCTGTACACATTATACAGCAATCAATTTCTCTTTCAATAATAATTCCTATCTTCCACCCTGAGGCAAATAAACCTATCTGACAGTATTTTCTGAGCCAAGGGGACAAAGAAAGGCAGACCCTCACATTCAGCTCCTCATTTTAATAATTTCCCCCAATCCTTTAGATCATCCTGTGAGTGGAGATGGTTTCTAGTTGAACCACATTCCAAGCAAACTCCAGTCTTCCCCAATTGTGCAAGAAGGCCAGGCAGGCAGCTGCGCTGAGCGTGAGAGGTGAGAGGTGGCTTTGCTTCCTAAACATGCTTTTTTAAAATTTTAAAATGAAAAAGGAACAAAAATGATGATACAGAATTTCAAAATAGAATAATAAATTAACGATTAATAAATTACCTATTGTTATCTTTAAAGTAGTTGCTCAGCTTGTAAGACACAGGCATGAAAAAATGATCAATGAAAGCACAAAACATTCTTTTTCATGAACTAATAAAGACTAGTAGTATAATTATGCATCTTGTGTGTGTGTGTGTGTATGTGTGTGTGTGTGTGTGTGTGCGCGTGTGTAATCTTTTCCTTTCTGTGTTTTCTCCTTCCCTATCCCAGCTGCTCTTTCCTTTTGAGCAGTTTCTTACCCGTTCACTTTCCAGTATCCACTGTACATTTTGGATCTTAGATATTCTTCTGTTTGACAGATTTTCCCAGCTTCACGGATGTCTGGTGACCCCAATTTCTGGGATTTTTAAGGTTCATTTTTTCGAATTGGCTTGCTTCTCATATTTCTTCCTCGCAGGCTTACATTTCATCTTTCACAAACATGTTGGGTCAGTAGTCACTCACTGATTTGTTTTGTGCTTCCAAAAGTCTGCAGCCAATATCGATATGAATCATTAAACATATTAACCTAATAGGTTTGCTAGCTTTCGTCTTTCTAATGTAAGTTTGCACAATACATTCTCTGCCTATATTATTAAATATTAGTAATAACAACCAAGCCTCCAAAAGACTACCTGAGTGGCTGGATAGAGATTTTTGCAACTTTTATCCCTTGTTCATGTCAATTTACCCTTGAATTACTACATTTATATTTTTCAAAACATGTTTAGATTTCTCCTAACATGCTTATATTTCTTCTGTGATGTGAAATATTAGGCATCAAGTTTCTTACTAGGCGTCCATGTTATTATCAAATCTCTACTTATATTTGCAATTGTATCCATCTCCTTTTCAGTAGGTATACTCTATATTCGGGCCTGTCCCATTTCACTTTTTGAATCAATGCAATCTTTGTTTTGCTGGAAACTTGAAATTTGTTAATGAATTTTTATAGGGTCCTTTTCCTATTGCATTAGTTTTGTCTCCATTTCTTTAATTTACTGCCTGCTGAATATTTAACTTCCCCGTTGTTTTTATGTATTGTTAATTTATGAACACATTTTATTTTTAAACATTTACATTACCATAATATAGAAATTCAGATAATCAGTGCCTTCCTAAGGTCTACTGCATCCCTCAAACTTTGATATATAATACTTAAATTTTTCTGATTTCCAGTCAATTTCCTCTTTAACTCATAGCTGGTTTTCAAGCATTCTCTCTCAAAAATCTCATCATCCATAAGGAATAGGAGAAAATTTTTAAACAGCTATTGTCTCTAAAATATTATTACGCTGTCATTAAGAATACTGTCTATATGATGTCAGTACTTTTGAAGTTTGTTGAGATTTCCAGTGAAGTCCAGGGAATTTTGAAAATAGCTCCGGTGTACTTCGAAACAACGTCTATTCTCTGTGCCAGATCAAGCTTTTATACATATTTAGTCAATCAAGATCTCAATGGCTTATTCAAATTTCCTATTCTTGTGTCAATTCTATCTGTTCTGTATTTCAGGGAGCAATATGTTAAACTTCTTTCTGTGATTGTGAGTTTGTCAATTTCTCTTTGTAGTTTCTTCTTTGTGTATCTCAATCCATTGTGCTTAGAAACCTTGAATTAAGCAGATTAAAAATGATTGAGGCGTTTCCTGAACAGGGGGGGAAGGCTGAGGACTCTGCTCAGCACAATACAGCCCGAAGCCTGATACAAGTGACAGGAGAGGAACAAAGTACTCGAGTCTGTCAAAAGATGCCCAGCTTCTTTTGCTCGGACGCCTTGATGTACGTTTTCAATAGCTCTGAAGGATGGAGAGCCTCTTTAAGATCTGTAAAATATTTTGGGGAAGCTGCGGAGGCTCCCGCCTGCCCTCTCCCCTCCCCTACATCTGACTCTGTGAATTTCCCTTGTCTCCCACGTCTCCTGCACGTCCATTTCCTTCTGTCTCTATGGCCAGCTCTTTCTCCTGTATTTATATTTGTCCGTCTCTCCTCACTGCACATGAAGGAGAAACTGAGGGTTTTCTTTTGCTTTATCTATTGGATAATGCTTATATTTAATTTAAATAATGTTCATTCCATTGAAATATAAATTGTTTGAAGAAAAAAGAAAGTGTGCTGACTTTTCTCTTTATCTTTTCAGATAACCATGATGATTTTTTACATTTGTGCCTACCACTGCTTCTGTTTTGGTTCAAGAACTAATGATTTCTTTTTAAGTTTCTTTTTCCATATCATATTCTTATCCTACCCATTTTTAATGGGCAGGAAAATTTGTAATATTATCTCTTTTTTACAGCAAAATTCAAAAAGTAAGTGTGATCCCTTGTAGTTTTGTGTCTATCTTGTAATGTCAGAATAAAGGAGAATACGTGGGACTGATTTTTTAAAGTTTAAACAAAAAAAACAGAAAATTATGTCTGAGAAGGAAACTGGTCTAATCAGGGCAAGATCAATCTTCTAAAACACAATGGTTAAGTATCCCAGAGCTATGGTACAAACAAGCATTGTCACTAAAATGTAAAACATTAACTTTCAGTAATAAAAGCATCTCTGAGGTTGCCATGTCTTTGGATAGTGCAGCTATGGTTGATGCTGTCTGTTTTAAAGCTATAAATAGCTTGGGCTTTTATGGCTTTATCAAAGAGTAATTATGATACAAAGCAATAAGAATATGCTTGTCTCTAAAATGTCGCCACTGTTCTTGTAAATTTAACGTTAGATCAGGCACACATGTACACTCATATATATATACATGCACTTTAATTTCCCCAAACTACCAAGAGAATACATGAAAAGAATCTAGTTGGACATCAAGGAACCCCTGCCGGGCTGCTTGAAGGATAGTTTGTATTGCATCTTTGTGTCGTTTTCTGTCAAGGTGATTTCTATGGTAACCCCTATTTGCATCCTTTCAAATGGTGGTAAAATCTGACACATCCCATTAAATATTGATAGCAGTGTTTCACCCACTCTTAGGCCCACTTGAGAATTCTTCATTTTATCTACTGACTGAGATCATTCTCATGGTATCAAGGCAGAAAGCTTTTAACTGTTAAAATGTTAATTAGATTTTTATAACCATTTTTATAGTTTTGTTCTTCATCTTGATTGCTACAAACATATTTATTTACAATTCCATAACGTCCTCATTAATATGCTACAGTAATTTGCCATAGAGCACAGAAGTTAACTTAATAACAAGCCACAGAAATATATCCTTAAAGACATCTGTGAAACATCTGTAGAATTATAATGATGCAAAATAACTTTTCAGCAAATGAGATAATAAGCAGATGATACTTAAGGTCAGCATTCTTTATGACCATAGCCTGTCTGCTGGCATAACTATTTCATGCACTTAATAACACTGATACCACTGCCTAGTAATGGTTATTTGCTAGATTCCATGCTCATTAAAAGTAACATACATATATCCCAGAATATCCTGTGTCCAAAATAATAGGCACAGCTGTAACATTTACTGGTACACAGTTTCCTCCAAACATACCCAGGAGTTTCACACATCTCATTCTACGTTGTCCTATTCACCTCAGCATTTACTTAATAGAAAACATAGATGTTAAGAGGCAAAGGCGCTTACCTCTATTCATTAAAAAATAGAAATCAACAATGGAATTTCAAGTTACCACAGAAGAGATGTCCGGGTGTTTCCAGTGCATTTGAAGTGAGAAACATTATTTGTTACCTTGAACAAGTCATTAAATTTATCAGAACTTATTCACTAATCTCTGCCTGGAAAAAGAATAAAAGGAAACATCTCACAGTATAGAAAATAAATATTATTTTATTTGCCTCATTTTCCCAAAGCTCAGCAAAAATCAAAGCAAGCAAGATTAATTGCTTGGCTAAATGAATGATAGATGAAGGGACACAAATGATGCTTTGCAAACTGCAAAGCACAAGACATTATACACAAATCTGCTCATTGGAAGAAGGCTTCCAACATGTTGATACACATCATGTATTGGTTTTCTACTTCTAATATAGTAAGTCACACCAAATTTTGTACCTTGGAAACACAAAGTTATTATACAGTTTTATGGGTTAGAAGTTCAACATGGTTTAAAGAGGCTAAAATTAAGGGTTCAGCCTGAATTTCTATTTGAAAACTATATGAAAGGATCTTTCTGGCTCCATATAACTCTCAAAACCAGCACAGTCCTTTCCTCTGTCTTCAAAACCAACGGTTTGTACCTTTGATGACAAAAAAACTCAAGGAACTAAGAATACGATAACACAACAGCAACACAAGAATCACCTTCTGACAAACCAACAGCTAAAATTTATTCACTGGTGAAAAACCAAAAATCTTTTCTGAAGTCAGGAAGAACATAAGGAAGCCCACTCTTACCACTTCTACTCTACAAAGTTCGAAGATCAGGCTGAAAGAATTGTGTAAGAAAATGAATACACGGCCCAATAAGAGAAGAGAAATTGAAATGATTTCAGTCCACAGATGACATAGTCTTACATTACCCTCAAAATCACAATACACAGGGGCTGGGGATTTAGCCCAGTGGCATAAGCGCCTGCCTTGCAAGCCTGTGGTTGTGAGTTCTATCCCTGGTACCAGTAAAAATACAAAATACAAACAAAAATAAAAAATAAAAATAAAATCACAATACACACACAAGTACTATAATACCTAACAAAGGAATTCAGCAGCATAGTGGGACAAGAAATCAACATACCAAAATTTCTAAACACTGCATGGCTTGTCTTATATGAAAAATGCTCAATATGAATAAATAGCAAAATAAAAGTTCTTTTTTTTGGATAATAGGAAGTAGGAAGGTAGGTCTTCTATCAAGATAGGTGAAGGAGACACAAAAAGAATTGAGATCTGTCATGTACGTGTACTGGCACCCCAAAAGAATGTGATCATTATGTACTGCACACATGTATTAACAAAACATTAAACTGAAAATAATTTTTAAAAACTCATTTAAAATAGCATCAGAAATAAAAAATACTTAGGAATAACTGAAGCCAGAAGGTGAAAGGCTTGTGCTCTGAAGATTATAAAATACTGCTGAAATAAATCAAAGACATAAATAAAATAAAAAGATACCATGAATTCATGGAACACAGTACTTTTAAAATGTCTATCCTAACTACATATCTAATACAATCCCTAGCAAAGAACCAAATGGAGACTAGCAATATGAAAAGCATCCTAAAATACATCTGGAATCTTGGATTGAGAATCACCAAACAGTCTTGAACCATGATAATAACAAAAACGAAGGCCTCACACTTCCTGATATCTATTATAGTTTTAGCTATTTGGACTGCTATAACAAAACTCCACAGACCAAGTGACTTAAAAAATAAGAACTTATTTTCTATAGTTCTAGAGGTTGGAATTTCTAAGATCACAGTGCAGTTCATTTGGTTCCTGATGAGGGTTGTCTCTGTAGCATGCAGACATCAGCCTTTTGTTCACACGTGAAGGGAGAGCCTTTGCACTGTCCCCTCCGCTTATAGGACAGCAGCACTGTCTGGTTGGGGATCATCCTTACCAACTGCTTTAAACTCACACAACTCTCATACCAATACTATCTCCAAGAATTAGGGCTGCAGTATAGCAGTTTGCGAGGACGCAGACTATCTGTTCATAGCAGCCACAGAAGGCAAAACCGTACATCACACAGACAGACATGTAAACCAATAGACCTGAATACAGAGCCTAAAAGTAAGCCCTCCATCATATGGTCTCAAAAAGACCAAAATGACATTCATCAAAGGTGCCAAGGTTATACAAGGTAAGAAATCATCTCTTAAACAGATAGTGGTGGAAAAACTGGACAGTCAAATGCAAAAAAAAAAAAAAAAAAGTTATACCTTTACCTTATATCACGTACAGAAATGAACTCAGAATTGATTGGAGTTATAAAACCTGAAACTCTAAAAGCAAGAGGGAAGAGCGTGATGTTATTCTTGACTATGACACTAAAAGCACAGGCAACAAAAACAAATGTGATTACATCAGTTTAAAAAACTTATGCTGCGGAATGGAGACAATCAAGCGAAGAAACAACACATGGAACGGGAAGGTATTTCTAAGTGACTTATTTAATAAGGTTCAATACCCAGGAGATACAGAGAACTCCCATAACTCAGCAACGGAACTAACTGATGAAAACTGAACAAGAGATTCGAACAGATATTTCTCTAAAGCTTATATAAATGGGTAAGAAGCATATGATGGGATACTCATCAGGGAAATCCAACGTTGTTTAATAGGTATCCACTTTAAGATTCTAAAATGAAAATTTTCTAGGGATCTGTTGAACATCAATATGCATAAATGTACAACAATTCATATAGTTAATGCTATCATACTGTACATTTTAAATGGTTAAGGTGGTAAATTTTATGATTTGAGTAACATAATTTGTTTTTAGAATCAGCATGGTTTGGGCGTGGTGGCAATGCCTGTAAAGTCAAGGCCAGCCTGGGCTGCACAGTAAGTTCCAGGCCAGCCTGAACTACTTGGCAAGATCCTAACATGTATGTAAATTAAAACACATTGTATAACCTTAAATACATATAATTTTGTCAATTTACTTAGTTTTACAATTTTAATGTTCTTATTTTAAAAAAGAAATAGAGAAATAAGAGAAATGAAAAATTTTAAATATTCTAATACTTAATAACATATCTGTTATACATAAACATGAGTACACATTAGTACATTCCTGTATATTTTTAATCTATTTTACCCAAGTATATATGGAGTAAAATCACCAGCAAACAAACAATAATTAATTTTATGCATTTTATGCCCCCGTTCCTTTCTCAATAAACAAAGCTAAGCATAGAAAGTATATTTTCTTTATAAACGAACATATTATTTTTAGATGGATTTACCTAAGAAATGAGTCCTCATTCCACCAGCTTTTACTATTCAGATTAAACTAGTCTGTATCCATCTGCATTGTCCAATAGTGCAATTATTAACCATGGGTAGCTTTTAAATATCAATTAACCAAAATTTACTAAAACTAAAATTTCAGTTTCTCAATCAAAGTAGCAACATTTTGAAAATGCAGCGGCCACATGTGGGAATCCATCTGCACTGATGAACATCACAGACAGAGAATATTCCTACCATCTCAGGGAGATTCTACAGGCCCCAAGCAAAGAGCAGCTATGTAACAGATACATAAATACAGCAAATCCGACTAATGATACAGTTAGCTTCAGTTCTCTGGTTCCCCCTTTTTTAAATGCTGTATTTCTTGTGTTTAAAGAGCATCTGGTGTGTATTTGCTCAACACATTTCAGAACTAGTTTTTCTGTTATTGCAAACATAAATAGAGTTAAGTCAAGCTGTTGAGATACAGTGAACTTGATAGATGGCATTTCTTTTTAATGTGGACTTCTTTAAAAACTGAAGGGTAAAAGATCTGGACTTGTTGGTAATAGGAAAGGAGGGTAGATCAGGGAGTTTTCAGCACTTTCTTCGCCCGCACACAAATACGTGTGTGTGTGTGTGTGTGTGTGTGTGTGTGTGTGTGTGTGTATAATAAGTATATCACCAACCAGGCTTTGCAAGATGATCTGACTCCATGAAAATGTAAGAAACTCTTGACCTCCAGAATTCTACCTAGAAAACAAGATAGAGACCAGGATTCCACAGTCTGGATTGAAGTCACTAAAGTCAGACTGAGAACTCACATATTTCCCTAGCAGCTCCAGATCGGAGAATAAAATAATCCAGCTCCTCCTTCTGCATACTCAGTCATCTCCATGTATTTCTCCTTCAACTCAAAGGGACAGTTATATAGTCAAGGACTCATCTGGACAAGGACATGCCACCACAGGACACAGCTCACCCAAGTTCTGTGTTGAATTTTTCGTTCTTCTATTTTTAACAAGACATTTAAATTTCCAGCTATGTGATATAGAATTCACCTTCCTAGCTGATAACTAGACTATCTGATATCTAAAGATAATCTATGTAATCTTCCCATACAACTCAGTTATTAACAAGAGGCACTGGTTCATTTTCAGTTCCCTTCTACTAGAAATGCTTCAGAATATTCTGAAGTGCTTGTCTGTGATCGCTGGAGAGAAGTGAAAGAATGGTCATCATGCTGGGAGGAGAAAACGGCATTATTAAACAACTCACCGTGATGTCATGGAGCCACTCCAGCGCTAAATAAAACACGGAGAACAAGGAGCAAGATGACACGTCCAGGAGCTGGCGAGAATTTAATCGAAGATTCCATAAAAGCCTTTTATCTTCGTCCACCCCCACTTTTTTCCAAAACTGACCCAATTTAAGGCTTCACAATCAGGTCAACACAGTAGGAAATACAGGAGGCAAAAAAAAAAAAAAGATTACTGTTCTCCCAAATGGAGAGTGAAAGCCAGGAACTCATGAACTACAGTTGAATACTTCAGAGGGTTGATTTTAAAGTTAAGGTAAAAAGAAAAAATAAGAAAATAAGGACATTATAAGTAAAGGTCAGATCACCTTTGCTTTATGGATCAGGGAAGAAAACATGTCTGTTATATTTCTTGTGGTACCTGTGTACACGGCTGACTTAACGATGAGTTACTCTTGCTGCATAAATGAGATCTAAAATAAATCGAGAATTCACTATGTGCTAGTACGTTACTTAGCATCTGAAACAGATTTAAGGAATTAAATCATCATCAAACCCTCATACCTCTATGTTATTGTGGAAGTTACAAAACTGTGTTTAAGCAAGTTGTCCATAGCTTGGAGGAGTTAAAAACACCAATTCAAACTTCAGGATTTGGGTCCTTGGAGACCTCTGCCTTCAGTAGAATTGGACTTTCGCCTCAGCTCTACTAAACTTCACGTGCCCACAAACCATTGAGTTTCAAAAAATGACACATGAAACATAACTCTCAAAATTATTTAAGGCTATTGTTAAAAATAGTTTCCTGATACGGATCCAAAGCCAACTGGATCAGAATCTGCAGGAATTCGACCCAAGCAGAGGTATTTTCACAAACTTTCTAGATGTTGTGAAAACATTCATAAATATATATTTAAAGATTTGCAGAACTTAAAATACATCGTTAGAGCAGGCCTCAAAACCAAGCCACCAAAGCCTGGGTCAAATCCTGCCTGTGTCATTCACTGGCTCTGACTTGGGCCCCTTTCTGCACCTCAATTTGTACAGAGCGTGTGCCCGTTCCTAACTATAGGTCTGTTTGCTGGGTTTACTTTCATATTTTATAGAGAAATCCAAAAGGATGAAGGATCCAAGAAAACAGAGAGCATTAAAGAAGTGTTATACTGAGAACATGTTTCATCTGAACGAGCTGGATTTACATTTACTTAGTGAAAACAAAGCAAAACCAAACAAGAAATGGTTTCAAATTATGAAAAACTTTACTTTGAAAAAATAAGGAAATGATCTGGTGTCTTTGTTTTTACTGCCTCTGAAATGCATTTCCTTCCTACCTTCCCACGTAGTTATCTCTTGTAAACCACAATATACTGCTAGAGGCAATCAGTCTCCTTTCTTAACCTGACCCTTGTTTATATTCTGCTGTAGGATTTCTGGGGAGTCGGAGATGATGGAAAGGAAGAGCTGATAAGAATTTCAAAGAACATTTGGGTAGCAGATTACTCACTGTGTACAAAGAATCTAGAGTTTAAATAGTCTATTAAGGCAGTACTTATCTAAAATAGGTTTAACTTTAATAAAATGGAAGCGAGATTTACCACCAAATACAGATAATCATTCCAGAGATACAGGAGAGCTGTGATTGTCAAATAACTTTAAATCAGATTCTTTTTAGGACTACAAAACGTGATCCTGAAGTTTCAAGGTGTAGAGGAGGAAAAGCAATAAAGACATACACTGCTTGAATAACATTATTTACTATGTCATGCTGGAAAAGTGTTTACCACAAACAACTTCTGTCATTAAAAAACAAAGGCAAGCATGGACCCAAATTCAGTAAACTCACCAAAGGTGCACCTGGGAAATTTCGAGATGCCTGAGACTTTCCAATCGCATGACACAGTTCTTCAATAAAGCACCTTGTTTGATAGTAATTAAAATAAAACAGCAAAGTCCTGCGTAAAGGGGACGAACAAGCAATCGTCCTGGCTTCTGCATCTACAAAAACAATCGCTAAAACCAGGAGCTTCACAGAAATCTTGCCTCCAATTCGTTCTCTATTTGGAAGGATATATTGTTAGTAAAAGTTAAGTGCCACAAACGTGGTATTTTCTATTTCAGACACTCATATTCCTGGCTCTGAGGCCAGGAGTCAGTAGTAAGGAAAAAAAGTGGCACTCGAACATCATTAATTGGCTATTAATTGCCATACTAATACTGTACGTTTCATGCTCTACTAATACTATACGGCTTAAGTCAACACTGCGTCCTCAATTACTGAGTTACCCGTGTAGATAAAGAATAACCCTGCTTAAACAACTTTGTCGCCTAGGAGGTTGTAAGGGAAACTAGAAAGGATGAAGACTCAGTCCATTGTAGTCGGTCTGGTAGTGAACTGTACAGCGCTGTACACTTACACCACCTTGGGAAATGATAATGTGCAACACTCAGACTGATGTTACAAAACAAAATTTGAACCAAGTTTTAGGACCCTGTTGGCTTTTATTATGGATCCACAAACAGGCAATACCCTACCTAAAACTCCAGAAAGTGTACAGTAGCTGACAGCGGAGGGGTGAGCCCTACAGACAGGGAAAGACTGAACAAGCAGAAGCAGGATACAAACGCAGGCTGGTCATTTCAGTTATTTTCCCATAAGGTTAAAGCGAAGAGGCGGTTGTTGTTGTTGTTTTGTGGTTTTGTTGTTTTGCTTTTTGTCATGCCAGCTCAGGCAAAGTGGTTAATGTGAATCCTGTATTTTTCTAGAAAACTAATCTGTTCAAAGGGCACTTTGATTAGATGCCATGAGCGAATCCATTTGGGTTTTGTCTGTTGGGTCCAGTACAGGAGCTCATGAGGAAAACCTCTCATGAATCTCACTGAACAGTGATTTTATTTGTAATTTTCCTTTTTTTAATTTTTTTTTTAAATTTTATTTTGAAAGTAGTAAAAACACAACAGCACAAGACAGAACAAAGCCAATGGAGACAATGCAGAGAAATTGGTACAGGGTTTCACAGTGGGATACTGGGATAGTAGTAATGGGTACTATAGTATATTTCATTATCTTCACAATAGTTGTCCAGTCAATTAGGTATAGCAAAATCAAACCAAAAATAGAACATTATAAAACCAATTGAGAACACTGAATAGAGCAAAAGAAACACAACCAAACAGTGAAAACAACCTTTGCCTTCAAATAGAAGATGGAAGGAAATCCCCATATTTGCTATACTGCATACGGTCATCCTCCCAAGAGATGCTGGACATCTATCCCCAGAAGCTATGGTGGGGGGGGGGTGTGCTTGATTTTCAGCCCCCGTGGCAGTAGGCTCACAGGTAATGGTTCTCCTCCTGGCCCACACTGCAGGCTCTTACCAGGAGGGCGGGTAAACCATGGCTGGATCTCGGGAGCTCTGGTTCTCCTCTTGGCCCACACTGCAGATCTTGGGAGTTCTCTTTATTTGTAATTTTCTCTAAAAAGAAATCAGTAAAGGGGGGGGTCAGTTTGGACTTCACTGCCTTGGAAATGGTAATAGCCTTTATTGGCCATCAGCAAACACAGTTTCTCTATGAGCTAAGTAACTGCAGAAAAAAGAAAGCAGTCATAGCAATATGTATCACCTCTCCCTCCCTCTCTCCCTCTCTGCCTCTCTCCCTCTCTCCCTCCCTCTGTCTCTCTCTCTCTCTCTCTCTCTCTCTGTCTCTCTCTCTCTCTCTGTCTCTGACTCTGTCTCTCCCCCCCCCACCTTTCCCACCCTGATTTACTTTTACTTTTAGCCCTTAGCTAACTTTTTTAGTCACTCTGAACAGGAAGGTAGTCAAACAAGTAACTAAAGAAGCCTATCAAATCACATCCCTACCGGGCCCAGGTCCCTACAACCCAGTGACAGTGGCTCAGTTAAGCAATTGAAATTGCGGATGCAGCTCTGAACCAGTTCTGCCTCAGGACAGGCTGCAACATTTTACAAAGCTCTTTTGTTTTACCACGCTAAGACCTCCTCACCTCCATTTACTCCGGACTCCTTCCAAACAGAGTGATAAACCAGACTGGATTACTCCATCAGGAAGGGCTACATTCTTCCAACAGAACATTGAGGCCTCTCAGGGCGTGCATCTCTAATGAAGCACTACGTTATTTGCTTAAAATCCCATCCTAATAATAAAGCATTTTGTGTCTGCACCGAACGATTTCGTTTCAGGTGCATTTACCTGAGGACTGAGAGCACTGCTATGCTGCATCCCTGACTCTGAATGGCTCTGGAGTAGCAGTGAGCCCCAGTGAGGGTAAAGGGGCAGGGAGGGGCGACAGGAGCCTGAGGAGGGCTTCCCTGGACAGTGACACTGCTGACTTCATCTCCTCACTGAGCGAGGCATCGTCTGAACTAATCAGCGAAAGGCCAAGGGGAGCGGTCTGGAGCAAAACCTCAAATTCTGATTGAATCCACACACTGCAATGGCGAACAGAGCCGAAGCTGTGGAATTAACCGAGCATGCAGTATACATAAGGCTGAGATGCTAGGTTAGTCTTTGTGAAATTCCCTGCCGCAGGAGAACAAAGGAGATAAAAAAAATGCGCACATTTAGCAATGCAGCAGGAGCTGGATTTGCCACCACCGCCCTCCCACTCCCGGTGTCAGTCTCTAAGTGACTTTGTGGCTAACATAGGATCCCTGAGTTTTTCATAGACAGGCTCGCGGGCTATGTCAGTAGGATGCAATGTTTGCAATCTTTTTTTAAAAGAATAAAAAGCCATTGCCATCTAGTTTTGTCAAAAACCACCTGCTGTTCTATTTGACCACTGAAGCATCACTCTTCAGGGTTTATCCTCCCCAGTGAACGAGCACAGACCGAGGCTGAACGAGGAAGAGTCTGAAGCTTGGCCATTTACAGCTGGGTTAGAGAGCTTTCAGAGAGGACTCCGGCCAGGAGCTGTTATCGTTATCGTGCAGAATGGCTGAGCTCGACTTCTGGATCACTGGGTTGGGGCCAGGCTTTTACAAAGAAGCAAATGGTGCTGTCAGTGTAGAGGAAACGATGTCCCCACAGCTTAGGTGTTAAATTCGAAGCAGTGGAGGGGCAGGGGGAAGGGAGGCTTGTCAACTGATGCAGGTAATGGAGAAAGATAAGCCTTAGATCATAAATCAGCTTCCAGCTACCACCTATGGCTTTGAAAGGGCACGGTTGTTTCTTACTGTACCATCAGCTCATTAATACTAGTCAGCAGTCATTACAGGTGGTACAAGAGAGAAGATAATTTACATATTAAGTAGTTAATCGCGGATTCCACTGCATTTCAATTCTCAAAGGCAAGCCTTTCTAAAACACTTCAAGGGCACAGTTCAGGTTCATGTCGGTACATTAAAGTTTTCTTCTGTCTATAAAAAGGATGCTTGTAAAAAGTTAGGATTTCAGTACAATCGCACGGGCAGTTTCTCCGGATGAACCTGCAGCCCACTGTCTGAAATGCAGGTGGGAAATTTTCCAACATGAATGATTATTCCGATAAGTTAATGGACACAATTTACATGAGGCATCACATTTGAGAGTTCTCAGTAGGGATAGGTCTGAATAATATTAACTTTTGTAATGCAAGACCATAAAAGTCAATTGATTTTTATTATCATCATAAATAAAATTATATTAGAAGAATTTTCTTGTTTTGGAAAGTTTTATAGGTATTAGGATGGGTGAGTAACTTTTCAAGCTCCAAGCCTTTCTATTCTTGCTTGCTATGAACAGATGTGGACTGCCAGCAGGACACGAAAAGGCCAGGCTTGAGAAAAGTTTACTGATCACCCAGTAGAGGTTGTGTTGCATAGTAACTACAGGATTAGTTAGATTTGGTCTGTAAACAAATGCTTTTCTAAAAAAGAAATTATAAGCATTGTGGCACTTGGCAGAGCAGAATGAATTGGAAAATAGTAGTTCTCTGTGGGAGGAACCAGTTCAACAGGTCCTCCCCTCTCTCAAAAGCAGATCTATCCCACCATCTGCAAGAGAGTGGACTTCCCCACGGAGCTGACTGCATATGAGAAAAATCTACCATGATGATGCCACTCAGGAACCCTGATTAGCACCATACTGGAGGACTGTCAAATATCATTTGTTTTTATTACTAAAGTAACATATTGCTTTGAAATAATACATTATTCAGGATTGTGAAAATAAATTTCTAAAATATAACCACTTTTAGTCTTTTGGGACCCATTTTCAAGTATGTTTTCCTCCTTAAAATCACCTGACCCAGTATTTTACTGCTCCAAGAACAGTAAGGAAATGTGATCCATCATCGGGGTCTATGTTCAGTGGAAACCATGCAGGATGTAACAATAGATAAATTATAATAAACAAGATCAGGGAACTTTTAGGTAACTGGCAGATTCTATATGTGGGTAACCTTTATGGGCTGATTATGGTTGTGGGATTAATGAATGCTAGGCAAAAGTAACTTTAAGCCATCCATGAGAGAGAAGTTAGCAAATATTTCTGACCATTACCTGCAATTTTACCTGAGCATACTTCTTCCCCCCACATACTTGGTCTAAAGATATCAGCAAACACATACTTTATTAGCTGAGAATCGGGGACATTTCTTCTTCTCCTATTTATAGAAACAAAGCTTCCTGTACTTTCTCTCCTCCCCATTTTCTGATGTCGACATATTTCTGCCCATCCTACTTCTGCTCTGACTACAAATTCATCCGTTCATTTGTTGACTTAATCACTAAGTACTGAAAGCTCAGTCAGGCTCTATGCTGGGGACCGAGACTATCAACCAGAATAGATGAACATCTAGTTTCCCTTCCCTGCCTTTTAGAAAAGCTTCCAATTTACATACTCAAAGAAACAGAGTCTTAAGTTGGTTTTAAAGATTGGTGCATTTCTTTTTTTGATCCCAAGAACTTAACTATTTAAATTTTAGTTGACTTGGTACATTGCTGAGCAGACAAACCTGGTAAAGAAGCTCACACTGATGATCATTGTGTCCTTAGGATTTTGACCAGGTAATTTAAATTCTGAAATAATTGCATGGCTGTCCTTGCTGAGTCTCGCTTTGTGATGGAAGCTACTTTAGCTCGTTGAAGCTAGTTGGCTGTCTCCAGAAGAACAGATAATAACATTCTCATTTGGTTCCACCTGAACAAAATGCCCGTATTAATATCTGAAAGAATTTTATGCAGAACATCACAAGAGAAACAAAGAAGTTGATTTAGATCAGTTGGCTCCATAGGTATTCAGAATTCTATTTAACTATCAAATTAGCTTCACCATTAAAATAAATGTGTGACTGTAAAATCCAGCATCTCTTCTCCAGGAGATTGTGTCCTCCTCAGCCACTTGGATGCTGCAGGTAAGAAGTGCCGGGCAACAACTCATCTTCCAAGCACATTCGAAGAATTAGGGACAGAGTTCATTCGTGCCTTGGAACTTTTCATAGCCCAGTTCCTGCATATAAAGGATGATAATATCTCAACAAATACAACATTTTTGGCAGAGCTGTTGTAAAAGAACAGTTTTTTGTTTGTTTAAGGGACTGGCAAATCTTCTTAACATATTGAGGAAGACACTCATATTTGGTGGGAAATATTTGATAGCAGAAATAGCTTAAAGAATTTCCCTGAAGTCACACAAGGGGTCACGTCCTGTGTTCCTAGACAGGTCTACATGATACAAACCACTGCTTTCCAGCTCACTGAACTGCCTTGGACCAGCTCCCCTCCCCGAATGCCACAGCATTCATGTTCCATGAATGCCTTATTTCTTTACTCGTACAACAAATTTTTATTTAGCACCTGTCAGCCAAATGTTGTGGTAAGTGTAGAAAGCGTTGTTTAACAATAATTGTAGGTAATTATCTTTAAAGCTTCCATTATTCAATATCAAGGTTTTAATATTTTTATTTATGAAATATTCTGGCATAATGAATTATGCATTAGCTAGTACAATAGACAGCCATGTCATCACCCAAATCTAACACAGGCAAATATTGTGCCACCTGAATTTTCTCTTATCCATTAAGAATCAGAACGCTAACGCTCCCTGAGCCCCGACCCTTGTCATTTCCTCTCTTCTCAGCCATTAATTAGAAACTGGCATGTATAATATATGTGCCATTATGCTTTCAGGCTTTTTTCTATATGTATCTCTCAAGGTCCGGCTTTCACTCTTCGTGATACAGCAATTGTGGATATCCCCTTTCTCTCACATTTTCTGTAAAATACCAGTCACTAGATACATTCTCTATGAAAGAAACAGGGTGCATTTGCCTAGTTCTATAAACACCAGTTCTGCTCTACGGAAAACACTATGAAATAAAAGATGTTTTGAGATTGGACTTACAGCACTGGTGACTAGGGAGGAGGAGAAATCAGTAACTGACAAGATTATAGAAAACTGCTAGGGTTCCTGTTTTGCAGTACCGTTGATTGAGACTGAAATCTGAAAACCGGCAGGTTTTGATGAGAAGAGTATCTTGGAAGTTTGGAATAGCTTGAATGTGAAGTGATTACGAATCTTTCAGCTCAAAATAGTTGAATCATGAATCACACAACAGGGAAAAAAGAAGGTTGTATAGGAATTTAATAATACACTAAAACTTGAGTGAACACACACAACTCAGTTTACTTGGCTTTACTTGTAAGTTCCAGGGCCGAAGTTGAGAGGAATGGAGGAGAACCGAATAGACCACCTGAATTCAAGCATTTGTCAACCACTAATTTTAGCATTTTGTAAAGTTTAACCACCTAAACCAGCGGTGGCATACCTATGGCATGCGTGCCGCAGCAGATTCTTTGTATCATTGAAAGCTCTCAAAGCTTTGCCATCGCCAATCTAGACTCTCTGTGTCCAGTCTGCCCTCCCCTAAACCTTTCCTCTGATACAATGGGTGTGGAAGCCCAGGGCTCACACAGCTTCGTGGCCTGAGAGTGCAAAGATCCTCAGACCTCTGGATCTTCGTGGTCCAAAAAGTAAAGGCAAGTCAATTGATTTCTAAGGATGAAAGTGGGCCAAACTCCACAGCCTTGTTTTCTATTGACATTCGGAGGTCACACACTACCTAATTCTTCTTTTGGTGCTCCCCACTCTGCTGACATAGCCTCACCTTGTCACCTCATGGCAGCAGGTCCCTGAGCGCCATCACTGCTCTCCACCTGGCCATCAGTCCTGCAGTGAGTCACCAACAGTCTCCGCCACAGCCCGTGACAGCAGGCTTCTGTATACACCCCAACTCTCCACTCAGAATTTGCCCCAAAGGAGGAATAGAAAGGAAAACTCTTCGCGTGTGATGAAGAGCTCTTCCTGCCTAGATATACTGAGTCCTTAGGTCTTGCTGGATATCTACTTACAGAGCAATTTATCTCCTAAAGTTCTCAGTAGGGATTCATCTAGAGGATCTTATCTTTTCCGTGAAGGTTGGAGTGGTGAGCCAAAAACACTCTTCTGACCACCTTGTTTTCTGCTCACCTCCTCCCTAGAGCTCTGTTTTGCTTAATAATCCCCTAGAAGCAGAAAGGACACTGATTTTTAAAAGTTCCTGTGAGTGATCCTCCTTCATGGCTCAGTCTGATGGCCCACGCTTAAAGAATGGATGGAGTTTTTTACTCCACCAGGGGAAAATTCCCTGATCTGAGTCCTTTGGGTATAAACCTTGCTAAATTAAATGGGAGATTAAACAAATTGAGCAAATCCACCCTTTCCACGAGTCTTGGCTTTCCAACCCATTTTCATGCAAACTTAGCAAGTACTAGCCTACTTTTGCTAATAGGTCACAGGAAAGTAGGCTGTTACTCCACAAATAACTAGAAATGTTTGGAGAAGATCATCCTGTAACTGTGAACAGCCTTCATTATTAAAGTAATGGATGCAGCATAAGTCAGGACAGCAGAACAAAGTTTATCATTTAATTGTAAACATCAAAATCACTTGGTTTAATGCTTGGTTTAATATTTTCTTTACTGCATGTAGAATTGAAATCATCACTAAAGTCAAACGATAGTGGTAATTCAATGAACCTCTTTGAAAAGAAAGAGGAAGGCATAGATAGATGGGGGGAAAGTGAATGTACTGAGGAGTGTTAACATCTGGGAAGCAAACAGTGGAAGAGATCCCAAGTGAAGAGTAAAAGGTTGAAGGAAATGAAAGGAAAAAAAAAAAAGAATGACAAGTGAAAGGTATCCGTGAAAGTTTCTGAAAGTCAGAACTGCTGCGGGCTGCACAAGGTCAGTTAAGGTAATAAAATCAGTCCACTGCATCTGAAAATTAACTGCTCGATGGTAGTTTTAGCTAGAATGATTCTGATAAAGTGTTGGGGTCGGAAAGCATTTTAGTAGAGCTAAGGAATCAAAAAGAAGAGGTGGAAAGTTAATAAAGGGAAGTTTGTTTTGAGAAAATTAGTTTTTAAGAGAAGAATAAATGTGAATATAAGGGAATACAAACAGTCTCAGTCTCCTCTTTTTAAAGAAAGACTGGGTTTGTTAGGATAGCTGAGACTTAGTTGTACTGAGTAATAAAATTCCAAAGCTGTATTTTTCCTGTATTAAATGTCCAATACAGGTCAGCAGGGGCCTGCTCTGCTCATCGTAGTCATCAGGGATCCAGGAGGATGTAGACTCTGTCTTGTTGGTTCATGAAAGGGATGGCCACCAGTGGAAATTACTACCACCACAAACCTGTTAATCACTGAAGAAAGTCATACAGTTCTATATGACTTCAAAGGGAACTTAGAAATACACCCACATGGAGGCGATGTATGGTGAAAATCATTCATGGTGAATCGGTCGATTAAATACTGTGGGCGACGATGACATGGCTGAGCCACAGCAAAAGGATCAGTAAAGATGCTGAGAAAAGAGGTTAAAGACAGACAAGAGACAAAAGTTAATTGAAAGAGCATGATCTTAAAAAGAAGAGGAAGAGGAGAATGCAGAGCACAAGAGGCTGGTAGAGCTTTGGCCAAGGGCCACTCGTTCCTTGAGAGATACACACTGAGGATGGCCATGGATGGGTACGATCTCCCTCTAAGAAACCTGTATGCTTTAGAATTATTTCCCCAGCAAGTGGGAAAGAAGACCTGCAAAAACTGAATGAATTATTTCTTCATTCTTTCTTTCAGTGGGAATGTTCACACTTGCACCAGGTGATGATTGCACCAGGTGATGATTCCCCATCAGTGGAAGGGAGGGAATGGTAACTGAGATGGTGGTATCAGTCAGTGTTGGAGGACTTACAAGATGAGTGCCATAGATGACTGAAAAATTGGGACTGTTAAGAACATGACAAGAAGCTGAGGGGTAACCCAAGAAGTGGGTCATCAACCAGGCGAAAAAAGTATTGATCATATTCTTTCCCTAATGAAAAAAAAAATTATGACTCTTCAGCATCCCTAGTAAGGCAGATCCCTTAAAAATAAGTGACAGCTGTTTATAGGAGTCTGATTAAATTAAGTAAGATTTGTCTTTGGTAAAAAGACACCACTAGCACAACTATTGTGTCACTGTGAGTAGCTTCTGTGGAGGTGGCTAATAAATCTATCTTTTCTGATCAATGCCTGAATGTGTCACAGGAGCCTAACATATTTTATACAGCAAGAGAAGGAGTATCCTAGTCAACTTGGCTTGCAACTCAAAAACATAAATCATGTTAAGAATGATCATCTGAACTAACGACACTAATGTAATAGAAAGCCTGGGAATCACTTAAGAAAACCATTTATTAGAGCAAGGAATTAATACAAATTCTGATTTTTAGGTTTTTATTGGAACCTACTTTCTTTAAGAAAATTCTGGATTGGGGGATTACAAGTAAGAATATTTACTTCTTGGATTTAAAATTTCAGTTAGAGGTAGATATTGAAAAGCTATCAAATGTAGCATGCTGATATCCAACTGCCTTGTATTTACATATCCAAGAATGTGAAGATTATCTATACAGAAAAAGTTAAAAAGCTGAAAAGATTTTATGTTCTTTTTACCCACATTCTTTCCTTGAATCACAGGTTACATCCTCTTCCGCTTCAATTCCAAATACAATTTGAGTTTTTTTATTATCTTCTTTCCCTTAAATTAGGACAGCGAAGGTTGTAACTATTGATGAAAATAGACCAGGAAAAGCACTGTACACGAAGGCCCACTTGGTCTGTCTAGAAAACTTCAACCAAAGGTGCGACCTAGGTTTAATTAGTGCCGGTAAGAACTGGGTCAAGTCCAGAAGGAGGTAGTTTTAATCAATTGTTTTTCAGAGGAGAGTCCGCAGCCAACTGGCTTAAAAATCGTTGTGGTAGAGATATAGCAGACTTGCCAAAATTGCATTACTGCTTCAAACCATCACAAATTACACTGCACTTTAAGTTTTATTACCAAGTAAGACAGCACACAAATTCATTTCCACGTCTGTTGCCAATTTAAATGAATGGCTGGCTCCTGCAGCTCAGGAAGACACCAGAGGAAACGCTGCATAGATCACTAGTGCATGCAATAAATGATAGCAGGCCCCTTGGTCATTTAATCTCGGAGAAAAATTTATATTTTAAGTAGGCTTTAAAAGTGTGATGTGAATTATGCCATAGGACGAGAATAATTCAAGTAAGCAGCCACATTAAATGCCTACTATGTACTCAAAACCATCCTAGCGGCTGTGGATGATATAGAAATACAAGGTACAAGCTCTGTTCTCAGACAGCCTTCTCTACAATTGGTCAAAGTAAAGGAAAATATTTGACACTCTCTAGGGCTGAATTATGTTCCCTTAAAACTTAGATATTGAAATCCTAACCCCAATATTTCAGAAAGGGACAGGCAGGGCCTTTACATATATAGTAATTAAGTTAACTGAGGCCATTTAACACAAAGACACACTGAATGCAGACCATGTGAGGATACAGGGAAAGACTCTCTTGCAGCCACAAGTCAAGAGAAAGCTGCAAAAAAAGCCCCAACCCTGCCACAAAAAACCCCTAACCCAGCCACCTGCCACCTTGATGGTAGACATGTAACTTCCGGAATTCAAGAATTGAAACTTCTGTTCTTTACCACAAATCTTTACAGCTGGGACCTTTGCTTATGGCCCTCCTGACACTGTGAAGTTAGTGCCCAATTTCATGCCACAACTAAATGCTATAGGAACCCAAGGATAAGAAAACACAAAACAAAACCTCAAGCTCAAGTAGATCTTAATGAAAACTTAAAAATGGAAGAGAAACTAAATTTTCCAGGAAATAAACGATATTTACAACAGCAAGGATGAACAACTATCCCATATTACATGAGATT